GGCTCTGGACCCACATGGAGCAGTTCTCCTTTGGTCTGAAAAACCTCTGGGTAGAAGAGCTGGTCTTGACCCAGATCCTTGCATACCTTGGAACCACCCTGGATTTCAGGACCTTCAGTGGCGCTCGCTCATTCATCCCTTTGGCACACGCCCCGTGGACCCCAGTGGCCAGCTAGGCCAGGGCTGGCTCTCATGGTCGGCGATCTAAACAAGGCCCTTTGGGGGAAGCTGGATGTGTGCTCCTTGTTCTAGGACTCCCAGGTGACATGGGTTAAACACAGTGGGAAGCCTGCAAAGGCTCTGAGATCTAGGCCTCCTGCAAGGCAGGAGTGCGTGAAGACTGAAATTGTTTTTTCCCCACCCCGTGCAGGACGACTTTTGGGAAGAGCACTTTCTAAGCAATAAGGGGCTGTGCAGAGAGGCGGGGAGCCACTGTTGTGAGGATGACTCTCAGACCCGGGCCAGCTGGGGCCAGGGCATCACTCGTGCAGACAGTGGCTGGTCACACCAAGCACCTGCCACGCGCTGGGGCACTGTGCTAAAGCAGCACGGATCCTCACGATGCCCCTAGGAGGACAGGGCTGTCATCACTGGGAGAGGAAACTGAGGCTCCAAGAGGCCACAGGCCACATGAGCAGGAGGTGACAGGGCTGTGTTTTGGTTCACAGCTCCAGCCTTCTGGGCTGAGGCCTGTGCAAGGAACCTTTGAGGCCCGATGTCAGGCCAGCTCTCCATACGTGCTCCGAGATAGAGACCAATGACACCTTTCATCAAAAGCTGGAGAAGAGCTTGTCATGTAGAGCAGTGCTCAAAAGAAAAAAATGTTTAAAAAAAATTTTACACAACAGAATGCTTCGTTTGAAAACTATCTTATATGTAAGTCCAATCAATCCAGAAAACCAGAGCTGGGCAATGGTGGCTGAAGGTGAAAGCAGGGTTGCCTTGGGGCTCCCAGAGTTTCTGGAACGCTGCTTGAAGGCTACTCATCCAACAGGTTGGCACTTAAACTGTGAGAAGCACAGGAGGTGCCTGATGCTTAAGGCTGGCTTTGGGTTTGAAAGAATGAGGTGGGATTGTGAAAGACTCATTCCTGGGTTAGTCGGTCATGGGGAAGACTGGATTCCAGCCTTGCCGTGTGCACTGGGTGCTGCTCCACTTGACCTGGGCACCACCTGTTCACCCGCCCCTCTGCTCAGCAGTCATGACTTGCCACTCACTGGGAGAAAATTTATCTTCACCATCTTACATGTAGTAAGCTGACTCTTTAAAGATACGAATGATAAGATTAAGAGCTTACAGCACCCTTCCTTTTTCCTTGCCCTTATAAAGGCGTCACCTGGTTTTGCTGTATTGACGAAAGGAGGGTGTCTGAGCACAGATCTTGGTGGAAGACCAGTGACCCTGGGGCACGTGCTGGCAGAATGACTTAGAGTGGAATCATTAGACGGACCTCCTTCTCGTAGATGTCAGGGATCATGCCCACGGGGGAGCTGACCATGCGCACAGTGTTCCTGCCAAATAGCTGGAACTCATAGTGGATGAGCTGCTCCCAAAAGCCGTTGTTGGGCCGGATGATGGGCCGGCAGGACTTGGTCCACGTGTGGGCGTCCAGCAGCGACATGGCGTGGTACTTCATGAGATAGGCGAGGCAGAGGGCGGCCGAGCGGCTCACGCCGGCGGCGCAGTGCAGCAGTGTGCGGCCCTGCTTCATGTCCACGCTGTGGATGTGGTCTGCGATGGGGTCAAAGAAGTCACAGAGCCGCGAGGCAGGCGTGTCGGCCACGGGCACCTGCACGTAGTGGATGTCCTCATACAAGGTGTTCACCACCTCCACCGAGACGTTGATGACCGTGCTGATGCGGTTGCTCAAGAGCATGAGCCTGTTGTTGGCGGCCGCCCCGCTGCTGATATATAGGCTGCTGGTGATCTGCGAGAGGCCGCTGACCGAGGGCTGCCGGAACTGAACCGGGAAGGCACCCGGGGGTGCTGTCATGGGGCCGGTGGGTCAGCGGCCGGTGAGACATAAAGGCGGCCTCTTCCTGCTAGGCTGTGTCCATGGAAAACTGCAAGGAGGCAGAGGAGACAGGTGAGGAGCCCCAGTTCACGGCCCCCTGCTTCATATGACTCAGTGGGGCCCCTCAGCTTGGCTGTCAAGGTCACTTGTGGCCTGGCCCCCTGCCCATCTCTCCACCCCACTTTTAACCTTTCTCAGGTCCTGAAGGGCCTCAGCTGGGCTGAGTCATGTTCTGTTTCGCTCGGATACTGGTCCTCTCTGGCCCAGGGCCCTTCTTGCTTTCAGTCCAGAACCCCCTTTCCTTACAGCCTGTCAAGTCCTAGTCTGTCCCATTCAGCAGAGAACTGTTGAGCTAGGGATCTTGGCCAAGGGCCACTTCCTGAAGGAAACTTTCTGGGACTATACCCCTACCCTACACATGATTGAGTATGTGCTCCAGGCAGGTCCCGGGTGCCCTCCTTCCTAACATTTCCTGAAGATGTGCTTTTGCCACTCCCTGTCTGTGAGTTCTCATGGTTTATCACTGTTTCTGCCTTTGTTCCTACTATACTGCCAGTGCCAAGCTGCATGTTCCCACAAGCAGGTGCTTAAAAAAATTTGCTGAATGAAGAAATGACCCCAACAACCAGGACTCTGCCTCCCAAGAGGTTTTCTGAAAAAGATGGGCTCTCCGGCCATGTTTCTCTAGAATTCTGGGGAGAAGCTGGCTGGAGGTGAGGGTGGTTCTTAGGCAGCTGGAGAGGAAGGTCAAAGGCTGCCTAGACAAATCCTACCTACCAGTACCCCCAGAGTCCAGTGCAATAGGCTCACCCTAGGTAGGTAGGGCAGATGGGACTGGTTTGTTCTAAAAGTCTTATGTGAAGTGAAAGTGAAAGTCACTCAGTCTTTGAGACCCCATGGACTGTAGCCCACCAGGTTCCTCTGTCTATGTTTTTCAGGCAAGATTACTGGAGTGGGTAGCCATTCCGTTCTCCAGGGGATCTTCCCTACCCAGGGATCGAACAGGATCTCCTGCATTAAAAGCAGATTCTTTACTGTCTGAACTACCAAGGGCAGGAAAAAAGCCTCGCCCTCAACCAGCTGGAAGCCCAAATGCTAAGGGATGTTCTGGATCCTCATCACCTGAAAACCCAGAGAGAAGTGGACAGAGGGCCCCCAAAACTAGTGCCCAGTGGGCAATTGGAATTAGGGGAGACTGTCATTCATTACAGGGACAAAAAGTGTGGTGAGAAGACACTGTTCTGGAAGGTGAGGGTAGTGAAGAGAGGAAAGTCATTTTCATGCTAGTCGAGAAATACTTATCAGGCACTGTGGTAGGTGCTGGGGATACTGAAAAGTACAAGACATCCATGGCCCACTCTCTCACAGAACTCAAAGTCTCACGGGAAAGTCAGACATTAAATAGGCAATTAAGGGTGCAACCAAGTTGAGAAATAGGGATAATAGTGCCTACCCTGAAAAATCTTTTACCTTCCAACTTTTAGATTAAAAAGAGAAGAAAACTGAAGGTCATTTTTCACCTGTACAAGGAATACCTAAAACTGGTCTAGGAAAAACCTTGGTGTGTGTTATGGACAATTAACCACTAAAATTATTGTTAAGTTATCTGGAGCTGGCAGAGAATTTGCATCTTGAGTGATCTGAGCTAAACCTGAAGACTATTAATAAGTTATGTTTGGAAGTTTAACTTCAATGAAGTGAATGTTTGTTGTGGGAGAAACAAATACTGACTTACTAAACAAAGATGGTGCGGTATGCTTGTTTTGTTTTTTTTCACAAGGCTCCTGAGAACCCAATGGCAGCATCTCAATTCAGCTGAATGAGAAATGTGTTTAGTATCAAAAGGGCCCAAGACACTGGTGTGAAAGTACAGTCTCAGAGGTTGGTCAATTACTGTGGCATACATTTGTACAATGTAGATCTGAAGTACAGTGGTGAAAACATTAAATGTGACCTTTCAAAAAGAAAAAAAAAGAATCATGTGAGGATTAACTGAGGTAATCCATGTAAAGTGTTTAACACAGGGCCTGGCACATAGTTAACTACTGTTGCTGTTAGGGAAGTGAAAATCTGGGGCATTATGAGAATGAAGAGTAAACGGAGTTACTTCAGGCTGGGGCTACAGAGTTGCAAAGATCGCCTGAAGAAATGAACCAAAGATCTGAAGAACTTTTAACTTGAGGGGGAGAGAGCGGGAGAAAGAGCGACTCGGCGGCATTTCAGTGTCACCATTTTACTGCCTACAAAGACTCTGGTTCGATCTCCAAAACAGCATAGCAAGCCGGTGTCCGGAGTTAGTATCTCCATTTTACACACGGGGAAAGTGAGGCAGAGTGGGGAAAAGGACCTGTCTAGGGTCACAAAGCAAGGCTCAAAACAGCCGATCTTTCTAGAGGGAAAAGTGGGCAAACACCATGCGGCTTTCGTTAATATTGGGTTATAAAACGTGGAACACAGTCCAAGGGTTGACGGGAGAAAGGCGCCACTTCCAGGGGTGAGTCAGGTAGATTTCCCGGGGAGTTGGCGTTGGAATGGTCTTATTCACCCGCTGTGTCAAGACCTTGGGGTCTTACCTCTCTCTCGCGGGCGGGCGGGCAAGGGCATTCACGAAGCAACCTTGGACGAGCGTCTCCCGGTGAGAGAAGATCGGTCACGACCCAGGAGCCACCGTCCCCGCCGGCCCGGGGCTCCGGTTTCCATAGCAATGGTCCCTTGTTGCGGAAAAGGATGGGCCGTGCCGGGTCTCCGGAAAAACCCAGGCCTCGTTTTCCCCGTCCTGGAGCTGCCGGGCCCGGACTCACCGGCCACAGCCCTGCGATCACGCGGGAACCCCAACGGTCCTAGTCGAGAAGTAGGGTCCTGGCTCTGCGCGCCGCAGCCTAGTTCTCGCCCAGCCCGTCTCCATGGCAACGTGCCGGGCAGCGCCACGGCAGTCGCCAAGGGACAATCCCGCTGCATCCGCAGGCTTCCGGGCTTCGCCCACAAGGCCCGCCCCACCTCCCTGGTCCCGCCTTCCTTGCGCGTCTCCCGGGCAAAGTGCCAAGCTGCTCACCGCGTCTGCGCAGGCGCTCACTCCGCGTCTGCGCGCGCTCATAAGACCATGGATCCCGAGTGGACTCACATTCCGGAGTTGCTCGCTAAAGCGGAAGGCGAAAACTCAGCGGTTGGCCAGCAGCTCCGGCCCTCGGTCACATGGAACCTAGACTCGCCCATTGCCGGTAGGGTCGCTCCTCAGGCGACCACCAGTTCTGGCACCTACCCGGCGTCGGCTTTCTTCCGGCACAGTTGGCTCCGTAACCGCCGGGACACTCACGTAAGGAGCCAGCCGAAGATTTGCTTCCTGCGGCCGCGGACCGCGCAGCCGCTGGTTCTCTTCAGGTGCGGCCCGGACCCAGAGCATTCTTCAGAGCCCGGACCCCTGGGGAAGCCGAACTCCCTGAGGCAGCTGCGGGGATCTTGGTCCTGGCTCTCCAGAACCTTGGGCGCCTCAGAGCCCGGACTTTTTTAGACTCCAGGAGAGTCTGAATCCCCTAATCTAGGTCTTCACCCTCTCCGGAGCCCGAACACCCTCAGCCCGGGCTCTGAAGGAGGCTGATCGGCCGCGGACCGCGCAGCCGCTGGTTCTCTTCAGGTGCGGCCCGGACCCAGAGCATTCTTCAGAGCCCGGACCCCTGGGGAAGCCGAACTCCCTCAGGCAGCTGCGGGGATCTTGGTCCTGGCTCTCCAGAACCTTGGGCGCCTCAGAGCCCGGACTTTTTTTAGACTCCAGGAGAGTCTGAATCCCCTAATCTAGGTCTTCACCCTCTCCGGAGCCCGAACACCCTCAGCCCGGGCTCTGAAGGAGGCTGAGTGTCTCACCTCAACTCGTATATCCTCCGAACGCCCGGGCCGGGCCTCTAGTCTCCCAGGCTTGACGTCATCTGTCCAGAAAGTTCCTAGCGCCCCCTGGGCCGAGTCGAACTTCCTTACCAGCCGGGTGAGGCCCAGGTTCCCTCAGGCGTGACGCTTCCCTCAGTTTGCTTTCCGCAGCGACCCAGGGAAAGCCCTTAGTTCCCTCAGCCGTGGCCCCGTCCCCACAGACCTCAGCTTCCCCTCGCCTCCTCCATTTCACACTCCCTCAGAGTACCCTCCCCCGCACCCTCCACCCCTGCCTTGCTCTGGTAGCGTTTTGTTTCAAAATGATCATTATTACTTGAAACGGAGTATTTCCAGTCATGGCCTCCCCGCCCTTCCCACGAAGTATTGGTAATTTGGTGCACCACTGAGTGAGTTAACTGTTTAGTGTATCTAGGTATTTTACGCTTTTTTTCCCCCCAGCAGAATTCGGGGGGACTTTTGATTGTGAGCATCTTGATCTCTAAAGGAGTCTTTTCTATCCCCTCACGTCTTTTCTGTCAGAAAAAAATTGTAAATGGGAGATAAAGGGTGTTTGTTTCTACTTGTTTGTAGATATAAAGACATTCAGAAAAGCACAGTTCCAAACTGGCTGAAAATGAATTAGGGGAAAATTTTTTAATCCTTCAAAATGTTTTATCCTTTAAAATTTGTCCTATTTTTTTTTGTCCTGTCAAAATAGTATGCACTTATAGAAAAATAAGATGGACAAGCAAAATTAATGTCTGGAGACAATCACTGTTCCAAACGGGCTGACAGTGAATTAGGATAAAAAGTTTTTTAGTCTTTCAAAGTGTTTCATCCTTTAAAAATTGTCCTATTGTCCTATCAAAATAATATATACACTTATAGAAATATCAGACAAGCATAATGAATGGCTAGAAACAATCACTGTTACCATTTTGGTGTATATTGTTTCAGATCTATTCATAAATATGTACTGCAAAATGCCTATGCTTTTTTTTTTTTTTTTTTTAGTGGTAGGGAGTGAATATGTCACAAAAAATTTTACTATTTTGTAAACTTGCCCCCCCATGCACTATGGATGTCTGTTTTATCCATAGCTGCTTACTATTTTATTGTATGGCCTAATCACAATTTATTCAGTTGCTTCCTTATTGTATATTTAGTTTCCAAATTTTAGAAAATATTACAAATAATTATTTTTAAGTAGGCTATACATATATATATGTATATAGTTGCAAAACCACTTCATGGTGTCACCAAATTATCAAAAGTGAAAACTCAATGCCTGGTATTATCCATTTTTGACCAATTCCTCATTTTAACCAAATTGTTCTCTCTAGTTTGGCCTGGAACACCTGGCTTTGTTCTACCACACCCCATCCCATCCCAACTTCTGCTTCTCACCCTCCAGAGTCTCCTCAAGTGTTTGTCCACTTCAGACTTTCTTTACCTTTCTAGACTTTTCCCAAACCCTTTTCCCTTAGAATTTCCCAATTAGCCAACATAACCTGTGTATAAGCATTGTTTTCTCTTTTTTCCTGATTCCTTTGACCTTCCCCACCCAGATCTCCCTTAGACCTAGGCTCGAGCAATGCCCCCCCCCCCAACCCCCCTCAAATTTATCCCTCTGACTTTGCTTCTTTCCTCTAAGACCTTTGCCTCCCATTTTCATCCTGCATTTTCTTCAGATGACTGCTCCTTTGGACACTTTTCTTGTGGATTACTCTGATCTTTCTACATCCTTCTCAGGATTTTTTTTTTCCTCTCAGCATCCAAGAAACACCCCTTAGGCACACATATTCCACAGGAAGAAACCTAAACCTACTCCCTTGCTCCTCTGACAGTTATGACAGGGCAGTGCCTCTACCAAGAAACTTCAGGAAGGCCCAGCCACTACTCCAGGATCCCATCAGATCAGGTTGTGTTCTAATCCTGACCCCAGCCATCAAGCCTGTACCACCTTCTCCTCCCTCTCCAGCTTAATGAATTCCAGTGAAACAGCAGTGAAAAAATTTTTACCCAGGAGCCACTTATCTCGGGTGATAATACGTGACAACCTCAGTGCACAGCGAATCTATGAGATGGAGGTAAAGTCATCACAGGCCTTTCCATTAGAGGGCGTTAGTGGCTTGATCGATGTTCATTCCACTCTCGGGGAAACCTTGGAGATCTTAGAGGTGGTAGGAGGCCATCAAGGTGCTCTAATACAAGCCTCTTTTACAGAGGAGACATTTGAGACTCCGGGTTACTGATTCACCCAAACTGTCATAGCTATTCCTTGTTTGAAGGAGCCAAGGAAGATTCCATATATCTTGGTTCCTGTGGCATTTTTTCCCCTCAAAACACATTACCTTTCTATTTAGGGAGCCCCTGAGTGGATGCCTACAATCTCCTGTAAAAATAAGTCTTGCTTCTAGAGCTTGAAGTGGCATTGACACCATTTGGTCATTTTTTTTCACTTCAGGGATTATCTCCCGTTTTTCCACAGGAGAACTGAGACTTTTCTACTTTTTGCTTATGGACAAGAAAGGTTTGACCTGCTTACCCAAAAACCCTCAGAAGAAGAGGGAAACCACAGTCTCATCATCCCACAGACCCTGACTGATTAATTCATTAAATGCATCTTCAGGGCTCACTTGGGACAGGCAGTGTTTTGGGCATGAGGAAGAGACTAGTGAACAGGATGGACTCTGAGAACGTGCTCGTTTCTTCCACTAGAGCAGGCAGACCAGAGTTAAGCTACTGTACCCTTCTTGACTTTTTTGAGCTGCTCTCCATGTTCTAGGACCAAATCTGGAAGGACCCATGAGATTCTGACATTGAGAACAGTGGGAAAGGTTTAAGAGATGGTGGGAGATCTTCTTAAGTGTCACTGAGACCAAAAGAAGAGTAGAGGTGTGAGTGTTTCTCTGCTAAACTTCCAGTGGCACGGTGTAGTGGAATTAGAGCAATGTTTCTCCCCCACAAAGTTCTCCCATTAGGGGAGGAGAGACGGCTTTGGCCAGCCATTGATTTCTCAGGGCCTCCAGGAGGGCAGCAAATATCTAGTGTGTTGGGAACTCTGAACAATGCTCTGAGAACAGTGGATAATGGCTGGTATCCCTGCGTGTGTGGCCGTGGTTCTCAACTGGGATGGCTATTCCCTGTGGGGACTTTGGTGATATATCGTAATAGAAATACGTAGGGAATTCCCTGGTTGTCCAGTGGTTAGGTCTCTGTGCTTTCACTGTTGAGGGTGCAGGTTCAATTCATATCCAGAATCCCACAAGCTGTGTGGTGTGGCCAAAAAGAAGTCCAGTTCAGTGAGACATAGGGGGTGTCACTGACAATATGCGGGGGGCACCGAGTGAGTAATAGGGACTGAGTGATAAGAGTTCAGGAAGGGGGGTTACGAGATGCACCCTTTCCCTCCCTCCTTCTGACCACTTTCCAAACAGAGATGTTAGGCTCTGAGGCTGCAGATTGTCAGAAGGTTCCACAGGAGTGAGCTTGCTCGATGCCCTCACTTTACAAACAGGGAAATGGAGCTCCCTGTGAGCCAAGTTACTGATGGAATATTGAGTTCTGGCTCCTTTTCCACCTCATAGCAGCAGCACAGATGCCTCTCTTACTGTGAAGTAACCTCACCTCTGCTTTTTTGTAAGATAAGAGCTGCAGACAAGACCAAGAAAAAGATGAGCCACTTGTATGACCACCTGAAAAAGAAATTCATGACAGACCAGCTCAGAAAGTTGGGGCGCTGGCGACGGGAATCCACGAACATCCGGGAGTACCTGGATAGCATCCGAGGAAGCAAGGTCCCATTAAAAGCTCAGCCTAACAGGAAAGATCAGCCACCCTAGTCAAGGCAGAGTGGTCCATCCTGGGGCCATGACAACGCTCGGCTGACCAGTGACAAGCTGGAAGTGAGCCAGTCTACACCATTGTAGAACAGCAATAAATGAGACCCGTGGATGGTGGAGCACAAAGCCCCTTGGCAGTGCTGCTGTTTCTTGCCCAGTCCCGTCCCCTCCTTTTCTGGTGAAGGCAATCCGGATAGTCCTGTAGCTGCCCAAGTGGAAAGGACTGAATCAAGCCGGCTTCCAAGGTTAAGGCAGAGATTGACCTCTGGTACCCTGGTGCATTGCACTGGTGCAATGCACGGCCAGGTGTGCTGGGACAGTGGTACCTTGCATAGGAAGGGCTTGGTAATGCCACTGCCTGGCATTCCAGTGGTGAGTCAAGGAGGGGCATCAGGCAGACCTGGGTTAAGGGCTGTTTCTGCCATCCATCAGCTGTGAGACTTTGTAACCTCTCTGAGCCTCTCTCTCCTTAGGTGAAAAAAGGAGGTAGCAGCGAGGGAACCTCCCTCCAAGAACTGGCATGAGGATGTGGAACACTTGGCCCAGGGCCCATCATTTGCATGGGCTCTCACCACTGCCTTCAGTTAGCTTTCAGCCTTGCCAGTCCTGCTGCCCTGGCCTGCCCACTGCCCCAACCACACCTGCAGGCTCTTCGTCTAGAATGATTCTTCAGGGCTGTTCACCCTCCAAGGCTTATCTCAATGCCATTTCTGCACCGACCCTTCACAAGCTTCTCTGGTCTTCTGCCTCCTGCCTGCCCCTCCACAACCCAGCCCAAGCCGCGTGGGTTCCCCTCTCTGAACTTGGCTTAGCTGTGGTGGTTTCACTCTGCCTTTTGTGGTAGATGTTTGGATATTTGTCCCAGCCTTAGATCAGACTATACAGCCTTTGAGAGTAGGAGCCAGGGATCCCCAAGATTCAGTTCAGGCCTCTTCTGTGCCACTCCACCCCACCAGAAAAGGCCTCACCTTCGTGTGCTGACATGTCTGTCTGTACTGAGCATGCGGTTGGCCATCTCTTGTTCACTCTGTCTTGCTGACCATGTTAATATGTCAATGGCTGGGTTACTCACTCATTCATCTCTGTAAGCACAATGCCCAATAACACTGAGCAGTCACTCTGTTTTCTAAGTGATTATTCCTTTGTTTAATTACAGCTTCAACACAGTGCCCAGAGTAAGGTCACGGTACATATTTTTTAAAGTTAACCAGATCCCTTCACTTTACAGATGAGGAAACAGGCCCAGAGAGGTGGCTTGACTTGCCCAAGGTCACACAGCAAGTTAGTGGCAGAGAACTAGAAACAGGTTTCCTGACTGGCTGGGGAGTGGTCGTTCTGCATCACCACATCTGCTAGGTAAGGACCTCAGTCCTCATGGAGCCTTTCTGAAGTCTTCTTCATGTGTCCTCATCCAGGGATGGAGAACCAGATGTCCACGATGCTTCTGTTTTCCCTTTTAATGGTCTTCCTTTGAGAATATGCTACTTTTCAGTGGGAGCCAAAACCTTACTTTTCTAGGTTTTTTTTTGTTTCCTTGGCTAAGCACAACTGATTGGAATAATTGACTTTAAAACCTTAAGTTTTATTATACAAGCAATATGACCACATCTGCCAAAAACAAAAACTCTTCCATTAGAGCAACCACTGCTAGCATTTTGATGTGTTTCTTATATTTGGAGTATTCATTTCATTTCAGGAACGGTCCTTTTCCCTGGCACTGTACCTAGAAAGGGGAAAGAAAGGCTTCGGGGATCCTGGTGTCTTCAGAGTGCCCACCAAGCCACCCAAGCTCCTCTTTTCTCCAGAGAACTCTGCCCCCCCCCCCCAAATCTTCCCTAACGCAGCCTCTCTGAGCCTCACCCCTGTCTAGCCTTCAGCCACACGCACCGTTCTCTCCTCTGGGTGGCTGGCCTTGGCAGGGGCTCTTTGCAGTCTTATGCTATGGTCCAGCAGACTGGGGGAACCCTGGGAGTGGGATGGCTGGGAGAGTTAGGATGTCTACCTAGTAAGTCACTTCATAAACCACTAACTCATGGGTGGACTTAGTCTTCCCATATTTGCATTAAAAACCAGAGGAGTTTGCATTTAAGTAAGGAACAAGAAGTAATGAAATTCTGCAGAGGCCCCTAATTTTTTTTCAATGAAAAATATGCCAAGATCTTTTTTCTTTTTAAATTAGGCATTTATAAGCAAGCAAGCATGCATTAATTACATAAAAATAGTTTTCAAGTAGTAGAGAAAGTCGTCATATTGTCATTAGCAGCAGTGAAGGAGAGAAGGGAACAGCAATGCAGATGCTCCTGGTGGGTGTGAGGGTGGAGCTGTGGGTTTTTTTTTTTTCCCCCTTAATTAAAAAGTGTCATTTGTGACTCCTGACTTAAAGAACAAGATCGCATCCCCAAGCCTGGTGGGTGCAGAGGGTGGGTGGGGTCACCCAGAAAACCAGCCGAACTGGTGGGTATGAGGCAGCCTAGTTGTAGACAGAGGAAGAGAAAAGGGAAGGAAAATCAATGAGAGAAATGAAAGAGTATTGGATAGGAAGATATTTGAGAAATAGGATCCAGAAGCTAAGGAGGGCCTTAGGGATTCTTTAGTCCAGTGGACACACACACACACACGTGGAACTCCTAGTTTAAATGAAGTCTCCCCTGACATCCCATTCCAGTAACTAAAATCATTGACATGTTCATGTTTATTGAGCATTCATATTTCAGGCATAGAGCTCAGCTCTTTTCAAAGATGAGTCATTGAATCCTCCCAACAACAAAGGAGGTAATTTTATTAGCCTGCTTTATAGATGAGGTGTTGAGGCTCAGAGAGCCAGAATCCTGCCTAAGGTTGGGCAGCTAGTAAGTGACAAAGTCTGCCTTCAGCCTGTCTCATGTGAAGACCTAAAAGGCATGTGATAAGCCCCCAGTCTTCATCACTGTAGTCAGAAATGGAGGTGGGCCCCCTCAGGAGCTTGGGTTCACAGATGATGTTGTGGAACCTCAGCTGTGACGTCAGTTATCTGAGACCAGCTGTTTCACAGAGAACTGGACTGAACTCTAGGTTTGCCTTCTACCAGGTGGCTAAGGGGAACTGGTCACCCATTCTGGGCTGGACAGGCTGTGAGGGAGAGTTACGGAGATGTGGATGAGGTACATGCTCACCCAGGAAGAGGAGGGACAGGACACAAGAGTCCTGACCGTTGCCCATTAGCTATGAAAAGATGTCTTCAGTTTGGTCCTCAGGAAACCTTTGTGGAACATCCTTTGTGTCTGAAGAACCATGCTGATGGCAGGGGGCAGATGAATGATACTCTTTTAGCGGGATCGAGTGTTTTGGGTGTACTCTAATTCTCGCTGAGGGCATTTCCTTCCCTCCTCCCCTTTCACCAGATACACGTCACTCCTTTAGGGCACTTGGAAAAACCTTCCCAGTTCAAAAATCTTGCTGGGTGCACAGTGGGTTCCTTTAGATTTTCCCCATGACCTGGGACAAAAGGAGGGAACTTCTGTTTACCAAGCACCTGTTACACACAAGACATCTTATATCCTACTTCACTCAGTATTCACAAGAGTACTCTTCAGATGTCATGCCCACTTAAAAAAAAATATTTACTTTTGGCTGCTCTGGGTCTTCATTGGTGGGCACGGGCTTTCTCTAGTTGCAGAGAGTGGGGGCTCCTCTCTAGTTGCAGTGCACGGGCTTCTCGTGGTGGCTTTGCTGTGGAGCATGGGCTCTAGGGCACACAGGCTTCAGTAGTTGTGGGCATGTGAGCTTTAGCTGTCCCAAGACATGTAGGATCCTCCCAGATGAGTGATCAGACTGGTGCCCCCTACATTGCAAAGTGGATTCTTAACCACCGGACCACCTGGGAAGACCCAAGTCCACTTTTAAGATGAGGAAACTGAGGCACAGAGAAGCTAAGAAACTTGCTCAGAGCCTCTCGGTTGGAACCAGGCTGTGAGATGCATAAGGCGTGCTCTTTCCTTGCCATCCAGCTGCCCCAGTGATGCTCCGCTTCATTTCCAGCACCACCCTCAATTTCAGCCATTGTTGGTGCAGGAACTGCTCTGTGATGGATGACCATACATAGCTCTGGCCCTAGACTTTCCTCCTAGGCTACCACCGTTGACCATATGGTCAGTGACACGACAGGGAGGAAGTCTTGGGTGAGGATGCTGGGACGTCATGGCAGGTCCCAGCTCCAAGGTGTCAGGCAAGGGCAGTGGCATCAGATCCCAGCAAGTGGGTGTGGGGCAGCCTGCCAGGGGCCTCAGAAGATAACTGTAGGGGCAGCTAGTTGGGGAGCAGGGGAGGCAGTCCCAGCTAAGAGTGATCCCACAGTTCTTACATATCCGTCTATCCTCCCATCCATCCACCCATCACTCACTTATCCATCTGTCCATGTGGCGCTTCAGCCCACAGTCAGAACACAAATGTGGAGAAGCTGATTTTCTTGTTTGCCGTGACACCCTCACTGCTCCCCACTGCTGTGGGGGAATTGGGGGTGACCTTACATTGGGAGTGCCTCTGCCCTGATTCAGTCTGACCTCGAGCAAGTCACTTCTCTGTGCCAAGAGTCTGGGGAACTGGAAGAACCTCAGAGCTGCCTCGAACAGGCAGGTAACTGAGGCAGAGTGGGGAATTGACTTGCCAAGGTCAGATAAGGAATTACTGGTGGATCTGGGACTAGATCCCAAGGGGCTGCCACTCGTTTATAAAGTGGGAATGGAATTCTGGCTCCCCTCACCTACTGGGATTGTTGGGAGGACCCCACGAGATAAGCAGTAGGAAAGTGATGTGAGAAATGAGGACACCAGGGCAGAGGTGCAAGTCCCAGAGGTGCAACCAAGGACTCTGCTGCCGGGCCAGTGCAGATCCCATGGTGACCACAAGGGGTCAGCAGACGCTTGTGCACTCAGCTGGGATCTGCTGGAAGGCACTTAACGTGTGAGCCAGGGTCTGGGTCATTTCATTCCTGGGGACCCCTAGCACAAGCAAGAAGATGGACGCATCCAGCCCAGCCCACTGTTGAAGTGGGAAGTATTACTTGGGTATTACAATTCAGAGCCTGGCCCAGCTGCTGACTCTGCAGGGCTCTGAGGGCTGAGGGGCCAAGCCCGGAGCAGGCCTTGGCTGGGACCCCCTGTGTCACCAGTAACCTTTATCTGGGCTTCAGCTCTCTGCAACTGTTCCAAGGGGGGTGGTTCAGGTGGCTGATCTCTTCACTTCCGTTCCCAAGCCGGAGATGTGGCACAGAGCTTTGCACACATGATGTTCCATAAATATCTGCTAAGCAACTCCTGCCCTGAGCAGAGCCAGAAAAATCCAGGTCAGCTTATGGCCACAGACACAAAGGTATATATGCTGGTTTGTGTCCCATTTACCCAGGAAAAGAGATGTACAAGCTAAGAGGGAGGCAGGACAGCATGTAGCTAAGAGCACAGATTTGGAAGGAAGGCTTCAGTTCAAATCCCGTCAGCTTTATGTCCCTTAGCAAGTGCCCTGTATAATCAAGCCAGTGTATGTTTCCTCTGCCATTATGCAGTTAGGTCTAGCTTACCTCTGGTCCCTTTGCCGAATGAGAATATCTGACTGGAAGCTTTGCGTGGGGCAGAATCAGAAATAGCAGAGTCAGGAGGGCTCTGTTCTGTGATGCCGACATCCACTCCTCCAGCCCTTGCTGACCTCTGATGTTTCATTCAGTTTCTTTAGAGAAGAGACATATTGTTTTCTGCCTGGGAGAAGTATTACCTTCACTTTGCAACCTTCAGTGTAGAGTGGGGTAGGGCAGTGGGTTGGAGCGGTTATTCCCCAACCCCTGCTCAAGGTTGTATGTGAGTCTATGTTTATTATAAACTGAGCAGATACAAAAGGATACTGGAAAATATGTGTACGGCATACAAATAATATCAACAGAAAACGCCTGTGAGCTCACAAACTAGTTTGAGGAATTTGTTGTTCACTCAGTTGTGTCCAACTCTTTGTGACCCCATGGACTGTAGCATGCCAGGCTTCCCTGTTCTTCACTGTCTCCTGGAGTTTGCTCAAACTCATATTCACTGAGTCGGGAATAAAATCCCCCATTTCACTTCACTGATCTCGCTCCTACCCTCCACCATAACCTGTTGACTTTGAGCCCGAAGCCTCCCTGGGTTCTCTCAAGTCAGCTGGCTCCCACTTCCCTTTTAGCTGGCTGAGAGAAAGTTCTCAGCTGCTGCTTCCACCTCTTGCCCTCATAAGAGCTCACATCCTCTTTCCATGTTCCAAGCATTTGTTGAAATCTCTCATTCATCAGTGACCTTTCTTTCTTTCTGGTCATGCAATGTGAGATCTTCATTCCCTGACCAGGAATCGAACTCAAGGCCCCCTGCAGTGGAAACGCTGAGTCCTAACTATTGGACCCCCAGGGCATTTCCTTAGTGATCCATCTTTAAAATTGTGACATGGCCTTACCAAGCCTTCTTAACTGTTCTCTTTTGCCACATGGCATCTGTCACCCTCTAAATGATCTAATTGGCATATTTCTGTCTCCTTTTATTAGAATGTAAGCTCCAGAATGACAAGGGTTTTTGTCAGAGTTCTTTTTTTTTTTTTATTACTCTTATTTTATTTATTTTTGTTTTTTGGCCCTCCCGCATGGCATGTAGGGTCTTGGTTCCCTGACCAGGGATCGAACCTGTGCCCCTGCATTGGAAGGTCAGAATCTTAACCATTAGACCACCAGGGAAGTCCCCGTCAAGTTTCTTGCAATGCTCCATCATCAGGGCCTAGAAGACTTGGCGTATGATATGAATTCAATGAACGTTTGTTAAAGTCTTCTTTCTAGTTCTGTTTGTTGGTAAACACTTAGTACTTTGGCAGTCTTTCCCACTTTTGTTTCAGTGGGGTCTCTTTGGTTCTCGATAAAGACAGGAGGCAAACATGGGTTCTTACTAAATACCCTGAGCTAAAAGTCTCAGTGTCATTGGTTCTCCATGTGAAGGGATCATGGACCCCTTTAAGATTATAATGAAACCTACCACAAATTGGAACTTACATTTAAAATTTACATGTAATTTATGAAAACTGTACATTTCATCTTAACCTGTTCTCTTCTGGAGAGATATGTAGAAACTATCAACACTTGGAACTTCCTCAGGTTCAGGGGTTAAGACTCCACACTTCCACTGCAGGGGGTATGAGCTCTATCCCTGGTCTGGGAACTAAAGATCCTACAGACCATGTGGCACAGCCAAAAAAAGAAAAAGAGAAACACCTCAATCAAAAACTAGGTGAAGGATGTAGCCAAACAAATAAAAGTGCAAATGACCAAACATATATATTTTTTAAAAAGAAACTATCAATATGGTAGCCCCAGAGGAGAGGAAGAGGGGAGTTCTTCTTTCACAGTATGTGTTTACTTCAGTTCTGTACAGTGCAAGCATTACGATCTCAAAGTTGAAGAAATTAGTTAAGTATTTTAAAGGAACTCATGTTCTAGTCCCTTGGGGCAATCACAAACTTGCATATCTTTAGGGGCCAGGGCAGCCAGTGCACATGGCTTTAGGACCGTAGGCAGCAGTGGAAGCTGTGGAGACATGGAGCTTGCACACCCCAGCCCAAGATGCTTAAATTTTGTGGCACGAAAAGTATGGTGTTCATCAGACTTCACCGGCCAAACATTTCACAGAACCCTCTTTAGTTAAATAGAGAATATTTACTGAGCATGTGGTGTTGGGGAAGACTCTTGAGAGTCCCTTGGACAGCAAGGATATCCAACCAGTCCATCCTAAAGGATATCAGTCCTGAATATTCATTGGAAGGACTGATGCTGAAGCTGAAACTCCAATACTTTGGCCACCTCATGCGAAGAGCTGACTCGTTTGAAAAGACCCTGATGCTGGGAAAGATTGAAGGTGGGAGGAGAAGGGGACGACAGAGGATGAGGTGGTTGGATGGCATCACCAACTCAATGGACATGAGTGTGAGTAAACTCTGGGAGCTGGTGATAGACAGGGAGGCCTGGCGTGCTGCAGTCCATGGGGACGAAAAGAGTCGGATATGACTGAGCAACTGAACTGAACTACTATGTTAAATGAGCTTTACATACATGATTTTATTACTGTCAACCTGTGAGGCAGGGATTATTTTCCTCATTTTCATTTCACCGATGAGTAAGAGGAAGCTCAGTGAAGTGGTTGAAGGTCCCACAGCTATGAGAGTGGTTGGGCTGGGATTTCTTCAGTGGCTCTGACTCCCAAAGCCCAAGATTTTCCCTCCACATCACTGCCCATCAAGATGTGGTCCATGATGGGAACTTCCCTGGTGGTCCAGTGGTGGTTAAGAGTTCACCTTCCAATGCAGGAGGTGTGGACTTGGTTCCTGGTCTGTCAGCTAAGAGCCCACATGCCTGGTGGTCAAAAAAAACAAAACATGAAACAGAAGCAATATTGTAACAAATTCAATAAAGACGTTAAAAATAGGTCACATTAAAAAAAATGTTTAAAACAAATGTCCAAGATTCACCCACTCAGAAACCCCTGGGAACTCATTAAAATGTGTGCTCCCAGGCACTTCCCTGGTGGCCCAGTGGTTGAGACTCCCACGTCCACTGCCAGGGGCATGCGTTCAATCCCTGGTTGGGGTCCTAAGATCCTGCATACTGCGTGGTGAGTTCAAAAATAAATAGCTAAAAACTAAAATTCATGCTTCTGAATTCTACCTCAGACCTACTGACTCAGAGTCCCAGGGAGATGGGGATGGAAAACCGGATTTATAGTAAGCTTCCCTGGAGAGATATGCAACATCATTTTTGAACAGGTGAAACAGACACTTGGTTAAAATATTCATATATTTTGAATTATTTGAAATATTCAATATTCAAAATGGTGTAAATGCAGAGAGCCCCCCACTGCCTTCCCTGCCTGCACACTCCTCTACCCCCAGTCCCCAAGAGGCAATCACTTTTCTTTGACTCAGCACATTGAAGTTTGAGGCCCATCTTAGTATTTGTGGGATATACCAAGATGGGTAGGGCTCTGCACCCTAGAGCTCACAAAAACCTGCAGCAAGGCCATCAGCCCGGAAGGGCTCTCAGAGGCACCAGCACAGATGGTAGGACTTATGTTCGGGTGCATGTCTGCATCCTCCGTTTCTAGGACCTTCCAGTCTGCTCAACTTCTGCCATCACTTTGAGTAGGGGCTGGTCCCTGCACAGGTGGTTTTGTCACAAGATCAGAAATGGACAGTGAGTGAGGGGCGTGTAAGGACCAACAGAAGGGAGCCTGCACAGAGGTCTGGTCTGGAGGAGTATGGGCGGAAGCCCAATACCCAACCTATCAAGCTGTATTTCCACTTGTTTGTGGCAACCATGACCTTCCCTTTGGGATAAATTCTTTAAAATCAGTTGTGCTTAACCTTTCTGGGATCACAGACTCCTTTGGGAAGCCCATGAAAACTAGGGACCTTCTCTCTAGAAAAATGCACAGACACGTTAAATTCCACAGGCTAAGCTTCACAGAGGCCAGCCAAGATTCCCCAGGGGTGTCCAGGAGCTCCGAGTCGGGAACTTCTCTTTTGGAGGTGGTCTTTGTTGTACTACACCGCTCGGCTCACTAAACTCTCTCTGTTCCTTTAAAGAGTCTGAACTTTGTTGCCATTTGCAGCGAAGTGCCCTGGATGAAGTAGAGGCTAGCTGGCCCAGTAGGTGGGGGCGCGGTGGCTCTGGCCCCAAGCCTGGTTGCAGGGAGAGGGACCCCCGGACAGGTAACAGCTGCCATGGGGTGGCGGGGGTGGGGGGCGCGGTGGGCGTCCTCCTCAGCTTTTAGCGTCATCCGGCTGGGCCCCTGTGCTGTGGGCGCATTTTCTGGGTTTTGTGGAGCGAACCCCCGCCCCGCCCCCGACCCCACCCCGGGTCGGAGGCGGGGAGAGCCGGCGCGGGGCCGCGGCCAGAGCTGCGCTGGGAGCCCGCGGGCTCCGCATTCATCATTGTTCCCCTAGCGCCTGGCACGGGTTGGGGCGCAGGCAGGGTTGGTGACCGAAGCGCGCCGACCCTTCTGTGTCGCCGGTTCGCCGAGCTCTCGCCCTACAAGTGTTTCCTGAGCGCCTTCCGAGGGCCAGTCCGGGAGCCGGGAGCTGGCGACTCAAGGAAAGGACGGGGGTTCAAGTCCAGCCGGCTGCGCGCCGCGAGGACCACGGAGAGCCGGTGCGGGCGGCACGGGGCGCACGGGCCGCGGTGCTCCATGGGGAAAGCGGCCGCTCTGTGCCGAGGAGGCGGCTGCGGCGGCCGCTCCCGCGGGCTGTCGTCGCTCTTCACGGTTGTCCCCTGCCTGTCCTGCCACACGGCGGCGCCGAGCATGAACGCTCCCACGCCCGGCTCCGGACCGGAGCCCAAGCCTCAGCCGCAGCCGGTGCCCCAGCCTCATCGGGAGTTGGTGTCAGAACAGGTGTCGGAGCCAGTTTCTGAGCGGGCGCCAGGATCGGAGCCTGTGCCCAAGAAGATGTCTGAGCCTAGGCCAGGGTTCAGACAGGAACTGGAACTGCTGCCAGCGCTGGGGACCGGGTTGGGGCCCCGGGAAGAGTGGGGCTCAAACCCGGGGCCTGGGCCCCCCACCAAGGCCCCCTTTGAGCAGGTGCCGGCGCTGGGGCCAGCAGTGGGGAGCGTGCCCCTGATCAAACCGGAGTCAGGGTTGTTGCCGGCATCAAAGGCCCCGCGCCCGGGGCAGGTGAAGACACACCTTGGGATGGTAGTGCCCGGGAGCAACTCTCCGTGCGTTGTCCCCATGGTCTCACTTCCTCTGGACAGCTTCAAGGGCTGGCTTCTCAAGTGGACCAACTACCTGAAGGGCTACCAGCGCCGCTGGTTCGTGCTCAGCAATGGCCTCCTGTCTTACTACAGGTATGGAGGTGTCAGGGTGAGGGCTGAGTTTGAAGGGTGGTGATGCTGCCGTCGTGGTGACAGAGCATCCAGGGTTGGAGGGTGTGACCACTGGCCCAGGATGTTTGGGAACAGGCACTCCAGCAGGAGAAATAATGCCTCTGGCCAACCTTCAACTCTGGCAGGGGAGCCCCCTGTGGACAGGACCTCTGGCAAGCTTGGGTCTGGGGAATGAGCAGGAAGGTTGGAGTGAGGGAGTGATTTGGGGCCTGGGGACCCCTCTGGCCCTGGTGGTTGTGGGACCTGGGGCAGCTATCCAGAGTCGGAAACCCTAACATCCTTGAAACAAGAGCTTTTTAGTTGAGGAGCTAAAATCATTGTATTAGGGGCTGAGGGGGACAGTAACCTTGTTTCAGCCCTTAGGACCCACATGTGGGAAAGGCTCCTGCCCCCTCCTCAGTGAGTCAGACTGTTGCCCACTTTCCCTAGTGTCTGCTGTTTGCCGGCCTTGGCCTGGGGGCACAGCAGACACAGCATAGTCAGACACTTCAGGAGCCCATCTTGACATTCAACAGACTAAGGAAGCGTCCCACCGTGGCCTTCTTATTCTTGAAGCAGCATGGGGTTCAAAATTGAAGTCTAGTGGTGAGATAGCTAACACTGTATTCCACTGTAACGGATTGAAAGGGGGAAAGATCCTGAAGGCTGCCTTGGTATGTTTCCTGGGGACCGATGGTTTAAACTTTGAGATCTTAGATCACTCTCTACCGTAATAGATTCTCCAACCTGAGCAAGCATTGGAGTTTGCTGAAGGGCTTGTTGAAACATTGCTCAGCCATCCTGCTGAGGTTCTGCGGCAGAGGGTCTAGGAGGGCCTGAGAGTTGCTTTTCTAACAAGTTCCCAGGTGATGTTGCTCAGGACCACAGTCTGAGAAGCACAGTTTCATTGTCACTGCAAACAGGAGGGCCCTGCCTTTCTGAAACTCAGGTCACTTTGCTCACTTTACTCAGCTGGGCAGTCTCTTCCAGTTACCCATTGGAGCATTCATGTGGCCCTTCCTAGCCTTTTTGGAACACGGCTTCTAGAGGATAGTTGAATCTGTAATGCCCTAGATTATTTGGGACCTCCACTGACCTTAAGCGGTGGTTCCCGCTCAAAGTGGGGATCGCTGTCTTTAATTCCCGGCAGCGGGGAAAGCTGACCTGTGTTTCTCACGCGACCGTCTGCTGTGTGGTGTGGTGCCCCTCGGCCCATTCGGCTGCACCATACACATCACAGGACAGAGTATTCTCAGAGTTAGGCCACTGAGCAAAACGAGATCCTTTTCCAAATGATGTTTTTATCCCATTTCCCTACCCTGTCTGGTGTGTAGGGTATGCATTCACTTACGCATGCAGTGATAGAGATCATCGATGATTTGCTATAAAGAAGTGTCACCCTGTCTTCTTACAGGTAAAGGACGTAACACATAGGGCATGTTGACTGTAGACCACACTCTCTGTCTTATGTTCATTTATTTCATCTCCGAAATCACACTGTGAGGTGGGTTCTGGGATTGTCTTCTTGTGCAAATGAGGAGTCCTGAGGTTAACCAGAGGGACGTGTCTTGTCCAGAGCCACTGGACCAGGTAGGCAGTGGAGAGAGTCTGACCTGGGCCCTTTGCGCTCCAAAGTCTGTGCCTGTCCCAGATGTGAGGACTGACGCCAGTTCAAACTTGAGTTCAGCATTTCTGAGTTATCTGTGTCTTCCCAGGTACTACTGAGGGTCAGTAGTCGGGGTCAAGGTAATGTTTATGAGTCTAGGGTCCCACCGTGGCAGGAAGGCCTAGTTGTAGTGGAAAACCTGACCTTATGTGTTTTTGTTTTGTTTTAATCAGTAGAACAAAAGTGTCCCCCCCTTTTTTTTAGGATATTAATAACTATGTATAGACAGTTGGCTTTTCAAGGTAACTTGAAATGTCTAGATTCTCTGGGTAGTGAAGGAAAATTTTTCTTGTTTGCTGATTAGGTTGAGGGGACAAGTACTGGTTTAGGGGAGAGGAAGGGGTGGGAACAAGTTTTCTTGTGTGTGTGTTTGCACAGTCCAGCTCTGTAGTTTGATTTGTGGATGTTTCTAGATTTCAAGGTGGGCCAAATTGTTGCTGCAGTTGCTTGGGTGGGATGAATGATCCTTGAAGTTTATACAGCTTTCTCCCTCCTTTAGCCCTATATGAGCCTGCTATGCAGATGTTCCCAGTCCCATTTTACAGGAAGGGAAATTGAGGCTGAATAGTGAGCTTCATGGGTGGTGTATCCCGAGGTGCCCAGCCCAAAGGCCGTGTCTCCAGTGCCATAGAAGCCGAGTTAGTCTCCAAGTGCAGAAAAGGCCCTTCTGCAGTGGAATCACACCTCACTTCTCCCCTGTGCTCCAGTTCTGCCTTCTGGAAGACACTTTGCTTCCCCTCAGGCCTCCCAGTGCCTCAGGTGTTTGACACCACTCTGCTGTCCCTGCTTGTGGTCTGAATCCTGCCTTCCAGACCAGGCCTGGCCATCCTGCCTGCTGGGCTCAGGGGCTGAGCACCCTCCAGGCCTGCCGCTCACAGTCTTGACAGCTCAGGGTGGGTTATCTGGGCCTCCATCTGCATCCAGGTCCTTGGCTCTCTAAGTGTGTGTGGCTGGAATAGAGGCAAATTCTGGTGCTTGTGAGTTGCAAACAGATTGAGAGAACTCCTTTTTCATGATCTTTCTTTCTTTCTTTTTAGTTGTGGCATGCAGAATCTTTAGTTGCAGCATGTAGGATCTAAGTTCCCTGACCAGGGTTTGAACCCAGGCCCCCTGCCTTGGGAGCATGGAGTCTTAGACACTGGACCACCAGGGAAATCCCCAAAGTTACCATTTCTTTAATGATCTTTCCTTAGGGGCCTGGTAGAGTCCACATTAGTGCTGGGTGACGTGGTTGCTGAGGAAGGAACCAGAGCCGCTTCTCTTGGTAGTTTCCCTTTTGGAAAAACTGTAAATTTTGTTTGTTTGTTTTGAAACTGAGCAAATCCTGGTTTGGACATTTCTTGTGTTCCTTTCCTGATCCTATGCTCCAGCCTGCCTCTCTCCAGGATAACTATCATTCCAAATCCTGATCAACATCCACTTTCTTTTTTTAAATTTAGTTTTATCTCATCTATATGCTGGAGAAGAAAATGGCAGCCCACTCCAGTACTCTTGCCTGGGAAAATCCCAGAGGAGCCTGGTGGGCTGCAGACGGACACGACTGAGCGACTAAGCACTTGCACATCTATATGCAATTTAAAAAAAAGTTTTTCATTTCAACCATTTTTATTTTTAAAAATCTTGTTTTATTTCATTTAAAAGTATTTATTTGGTTGCACCAGCTATTAATTTTAGCATGTGGGATCTAGCTCCTTGACCAGGGATCGAATCCGGGCCCCCTGCAATTGGGAGCATGGAGTCTTAGCCACTGGACCAGCAGGGAAGTCCCTCAACCATTTTTAACTTTGTGAAAAGGGATCTTGTCCGACACATGATTTGGGGGGACTGATTTGGGGTGCGTTGTGACAGCCGGGTTGAAAGTGCACCTTTTACCTGTGTGTGCCCCTCTTGTTAGTGTGTGTGTTAGTAGTTAGTTAGTAGTCAGTCAGTTAGTAGTATCTGACTCTCTGCAACCCCATGGACTGTAGCCTGCCAGGCTCCTGTGTCTGAAATTTCCCAGGCAAGAATACTGGAGTGGGTTCCCGCGTCTCTTGTGTCTCCTGCATTGCAGGTGGATTCTTTACCACTGAGTCACCTGGGAAGCCCTCTCCTCTTGATGGGTGACTACGGAAACACTTGAATGCGTGCGGGAGTCCTTGCAGGTGAAATCACTGGCTTGTGGAGAATGTGAACGCCAAGCTCTTTTCCAGAGCACTTGTGCCGGTTTATAGTCCCGCTGGGAACAAATAAGAGCTTTTTGTGGATCTCTGTCCTTTGCAGCTCTTGGTATTGTCAGTGTTGATTTTGCCAATTAAATTAGTATTGCATCGTAGTCTTGACCTGCATTTCAGTCCCCGTTATTTTCACTTTGATAGAAAATCAGTGGGGGGTTTGGATTAGAATTTCTCCACTAAGTCTGGCTTCCTCGAGTGCTACTGTCCTAGATTTTGCTGGAAAAGCTCATTCAGTGTCAAGTTTGTTCCAAGGGAGAAAGTACACAGTGCCAACAACTGGGCTTAGTAACATTCATATTATCAGGAATAACAAGACGCTCTTTGTAAATATTGTCACATACTGAAAGCGTTTCTGGGAGGTCTGGGTAATTGTTGGCAGGTTTTTACTTCTTTCCAACAATGTGCTAGGAATATAAATACAGGAGGCAAGGTTATTCTATTGCCCGGCACACTTAATCATGTATCTGTTTGAATATTTGAATACCAATAAAAGAAATGTGGTTTTGTGCTCTTTTTTTGGTTGTTCTCATTTAAACAATTTCATCCCCAGCTCTCATCTCACAGGGAATGTGTAACTACCTGAAATTAGGGAAGAATTCATAAATAATGTAGAATTTTTAAAGGTATGGGCTTCCCTGGTGGCTCTGCTGGTAAAGAATCTGCATGCAATGCGGGAGACCTGGGTTCGATCCCTGGGTTGGGAAGATCCCTTGGAGAAGGGAACAGCTATCCACTCCAGTATTCTGATCTGGAGAATTCCTTGGACTGCATAGAGTTGAGTTGTAAAGAGTTGGACATGATTGAGCGATTTGACTCTTCAAAGGTATTAGCCCCAACAAGTCCTTATGGTGAGGGTGTTTCAAACATAATCTTTATCCACATTAATGACACAGTTGATTTGATTAAACAAAAGTCTGTTTTGTTCTATACAAGTTGTCTGCTCGGCAACATTAGAAATGACATTTGCTTCCCGGGAAATGATTTCAAGCAAATCATGAAACAAAAACTTTTTAAAAAATATTTGTTTGGCTGCATCAGGTCTTGGTTGTGGCACTCAGGATCTTCGTCGCATCGTGTAGAATTTTTCGTTGGTGCACAGACTTCCTAGTTGTAGCACAAGGTCTCCAGAGCGCATGGACTCAGTCGCTGTGGCGAGTGGACTTAGTTGCTCAACCAGGGATTGAACCCACATTCCCTGCATTGCAAGGCCAGTTCTTAACCACTGGACCACCAGGGAAGTCCCCCCAAAATGTTTTAATTTATTATTGTTCAGACTAATCTGTGGGTAGGAATGGCAAAGCCAGCTATTGATAAAAGGACTAAGGAAGTTAGTCTGAATCTATAAGAAAGAAGGCTCCAGTCAATTGAAAGCAAGTTTTGAGAGTTCTCCAGCCGAGGAAGCCGACTGAACAAATGGTGAACTGGGCCCACTTGAGGGTGGTGGCCAAGACATTTTGCCTGTAGGTTGGATTGAGCACTCCTCCAGTGAGGCCAAATCTCAAACTCTCCTGGAGACAGTATTGTTTATATAGTTGTGGTGCACGGGCTTAGTTGCTCATCAATGTGTGGAATCTTCTGGCATCAGGGATCTAACCTGCGTCTCTTGATTTGGCAGGCAGAATCTTTACTACTGAGCCATCAGGGAAGCCTAGTATTTTTTTTAAATAAAGTTTTACTGGGACACAGTCATGCCCATTCATTTTGGTTATGGCTACTTTGGGTTTTTTTCGCAGCACTGCAAGTTTTGTGGGCTCTTAGTTCCCCGACCAGGGATTGAACTCTTGTCCTCATCAGTGAAAGTAGAGTCTTATATGTGACTGCACAGTGAAAGCGCAGTCATCTTAATCCCCTGAGACAGTCTTTTTGATGTCAGTTTGGTGGTGGTTTAGTCACTAAGTCGTGTCCAATTCTTGGCGACCCCATGGACTGTAGCCTGCTAGGCTCCTCTGTCCATGGGATTCTCCAGGCAAGAATACTGGAGTGGGTTGCCATTTCCTGCTCCATGATGTCAGTTTAGGTGATGCTTAAAGGATGGATATAGAAAAGACCATCTAGTTGCAAAATGTCCCCGAAAACCTGAAGTTGGAAGTGCAAGTCTTCAGGTTAAGCCACTAGGTTATCCACCTAAGAAGGTGGCCTTATTATATTGGATTCAGCTTTAATTTGAAATATCATCCAGTGTTTTATATTATGAGACCATAAGGAAGCTGGGAAGGAATGCACAGGTTGAAAGTATGTACACATTTCTTTAATGTTCAGCACGAAGGTGTTGCAAAGAGCCTATAAGAGGACTGGCAGTATGTTTTGGAGGAGACAGTGCACGTCCTTAGCAAGGTCTTCTTGTTGTTCAGTTGCTAAGTCATGTCCTACACTTTGGGACCCCATAGACTTCAGCACACCAGGCTCCTCTGTCCTCCACTAGCTCCCGGACTTTGCTCAAATTCACGTCCATTGAGTTGGTGATGCTGTCTAACCATCTCATTCTCTCCTGCTCCCTGTCCCTGTTGCCCTCAACCTTTCCCAGCACCAGGATCTTTTCTAGCAAGTCAGCTCTTTGCATCAGGTAGAGCATTGTATTTTCAGCTTCAGTTACAGTCCTTCCAATGAATATTCAGGGTTGATTTCCTTTAGGATTGACTGGTTTGATCTCCTTGCAGTCCGTGGGACTCTCAAGAGTCTTCTCCAGCATCACAATTTGAAAGCATCAGTTCTTTGGCACTCAGCCTTCTTCATGGTCTGACACTCACATCCGTACATGACTACTGGGAAAACCACAGCTTTGACCATACAGACTTTTGTGGGCAAAGTGATGTCTCTGCTTTTTATTTATTTATTTTTTTTTATGTCTCTACTTTTTAATATGTTGTCTAGGTTTGTCATAGCTTTCCTTCCAAGGAGAAGGCATCTTTTAGCGAAGTGTAGTGACACAAATTATAATTCCCCCACATAACCCGCTCCTTTTCCTGACCCTCTTTCTATCAATAGCTGAAAACCTGAGTCACGCTTGCTGCTTCCTGCCGCCCTCACCCTACATCAGATGGAACTGCCAAGCCCTGCCTGTCTTCTTCCCCTCGTCCACCCCTCCTCCCCACTGCTGGTGCCACATCATGGCTCAGGTCTGCCTTCTGCTGACCTGGTGTCCCAGTCCCAGCTTCTGCCCTGGATGGGGGCCCTGGTGTGGCGCCACCTGCCCGCCCCAAGGGCCTTATATTTTCCTGTCCTCTCCAGGAATCTCTTTCAACAGTTCCATCCCCTGTGTTAGCAGCCACCTACTGTGGGTTTCTCGCATTTGAAATATCCATAATGGCCCCAGACTGACCTAAGGACCACATCTTTGTCCTTTGGGAGTTTATAGGGTTGCTGTGTGGGCACCTGTGCAGACAGCTTTGTGCCAAAGGGACACTGTGGTCAACTTTGGCATCTTCTTTGTTTTTTTTAATTAAAAAAATTTTGGTGGGGGGGAGGCTGCATGTGTCTTGTGGGATCTTAGTTCCCCAACCAGGGGTTGAACCCGGGCTCCCTGCATTAGGAGCGCAGAGTCCTAGCCACTGGACCACCAGAAACGTCTCATGTTAGGCACTTTTCTGACCTAGACCTTCCCCGAGGGCCTTTGGTGACTTGGGTTTCCCCAGGATGAGGGTACACTCGCCACATGGACCTCCTTCCTCCACAGGACCTTCCCTTTTGCACCTGTGGTGAGATGTCTGGTGTGAGTTCTTCAGCTGCTGCACACCCTTGTACCTTCTTCAGGGAAGGTCTGTTAATCCAAGATCAGAGCCAGCACACAGTCTGCAGCATGGTGACAGCGAACGCA